CATTTTTATATATGAAATAATAACTCCCCAGTCATTTTTATATATGAAATAATAACTCCCCAGTATTTTTATATATGAAATAATAACTCCCAGTCATTTTTATATATGTAATAATAACTCCCCAGTCATTTTTATATATGAAATAATAACTCCCCAGTCATTTTTATATATGAAATAATAACTCCCCAGTCATTTTTATATGTGTAATAATAACTCCCCAGTCATTTTTATCTATGTAATAATAACTATATCTATGTAATAATAACTCCCAAACAGAAAAAGGCGTAAGTTATCTAAAATAAATTCAATTTTTGAATTAAATGTTTTATTATTAACAAATGAGTGCATTTGTAACTTGGAATTTGGCGTTTTAAAGAATTTGGCGCTTTAAAGAATTGATCCTCCAAATAATTAATTAATGATAAATTTCAATAATTAAAACCTGTTAACACTCTTACGTACATATTAAATGATAAGGCATATTCATTTAAGCTCTTACTTTCAACTTTTATGTCATTTAGCTTCTTCAAAACTAGGGGAGTTATTCTTACATAGAGAGATTTATTATTACATATATAAAAATGACTGGGAATTTATTATTATTTGGGAGTTAATATAATATACTACTCCGGTCCTATGGGTGTAAGGGGCTGTGGTCCAGAAGAAGTTAATGGTAGGTGATATGTAGAGATCAATGTCAGCAATGACAGTAAATGGGGAGAGTGCACACAGGGCTAGGCTCAGCTGATATATCAGATTTGTGCTTTGTCATTATTTTCTTTGTACTGTACCATTTGATGAGCCAGGTTTATACAGAGGGAATAAGCTGGATTTCCTGCTTGTGTGGTTTAATTTATTTGCTGGCAGAATTGCTTGACGTTTATCAAAGCAGGTCCCAGCAGATTCATAGAATGAGGCATGTCTTCTGCAGTAAAGCTCCCAGCATTGCAGCATTGCAGCAGTAACTTGATTACTTCTCCAGATATCAGGAGCTGCAGTAGATATATGATCTGATCAGCATGATCAGACTGTACAGAAAGGAATTCAGCATTGTCCAACGGGTGGCCCGCGGGCCAGATCGTCTCTTTAACCTCGTGGGCTGTGCTGACAGCCACCAACCCTCTCCTATCTGTATCCTAGTTATGGGAAACATTGCAGTCTATAACAGCAGCCTAGCCAATGCACTAACACGCCCAGAATGACCTTCAGAGCCTGGGAACAAATGTCCATATTACATCTATTTTCTGATCAGCTGCATATTACATACAATGTGTAGATGGGACTCTAGAGCAAAAATGTGCAACTTATTCAGCTTACCGTTAATTGAATATCGTCAGCCTATGTCCTTCAGGTCATTTAATAAAGTCCTCATCCGAATTTTCATGGAGGTCCTGTCCACTGCACCAATCTGTAGCTGTCCGTACATCTTACACAGAGATCTATATAGAACTTTGGTGACTAACAGCTTATCTATCCATGGAGGATGGATGGGAGTTGTAGTTCCACAGCATCAAAGAATATCTTAGCTGATTAGATTCAGCTAGGAGGTATAATTCTATTTGTCTGTCATCCTGGATGACATCACATTTTTCTAGCAGGATGGCTGGGAGTTGTAGTTCCACATCATCAAAGAACGCCTTATCTGATTAGATTCAGTTAGGAGGCATAATTCTATCTGTCTGTCATCCTGGAAGACATGGATGTTATCACATTTTTCTAGCAGGATGGCTGGGAGTTGTAGTTCCACAGCATCAAAGAATGCCTTAGCTGATTAGATTCAGCTAGGAGGCATAATTCTATTTGTCTGTCATCCTGGATGACATCACATTTTTCTAGCAGGATGACTGGGAGTTGTAGTTCCACAGCATCAAAGAACGCCTTACCTGATTAGATTCAGCTAGGAGGCATAATTCTATCTGTCATCCTGGATGAAATCACATTTTTCTAGCCGGATGGCTGGGAGTTGTAGTTCCACAGCATCAAAGAACACCCTAGCTGATTAGATTCAGTTAGGAGGCATAATTCTATCTGTCTGTCATCCTGGATGACATCACATTTTTCTAGCAGGGTGGCTGGGACTTGTAGTTCCACAGCATCAAAGAACACCCTAGCTGATTAGATTCAGTTAGGAGGCATAATTCTGTCTGTCATCCTGGATGACATGGATGTCATCACATTTTTCTAGCAGGATGGCTGGGACTTGTAGTTCCACAGCATCAAAGAACACCCTAGCTGATTAGATTCAGTTAGGAGGCATAATTCTTGTCTGTCATCCTGGATGACATGGATGTCATCACATTTTTTCTAGCCGGATGGCTGGGAGTTGTAGTTCCACAGCATCAGAGGACCTCTTGGTTGATAGGTTACAATTAACTTGCCTAAGTCTTATTTGTCCGTCATACTAGATGATATGGATGTGATTACATTTCCCAAGCTGGGTGCCTTGGAGATGTTGCCCTACAGCATTAAAGAACCAATTGGTTGATTAGACACAGTCTGTCATCCTCAGTGGTATATGGATGTTATAACATTTCAGTATTTGCCTTTTTGAATCACTAAATCTAGGAAATGATTGTAGAAAATGAAGGAGTTCTAACTACTGAAGCATGGCACCTATCTTTCCATGTACAGGAGAGGGTGCTATAACCTTTATTGTTAGTACTGTTACAATGTGGTCTGGGAACTCTATTCTATGGTGGTCCCTCATCTCTATTAGTTAAAAGACGTATCAAGCATTTCTGGATTTTATATTAGAGTTGAAAGTGAGGAAAGGTGACTCTCAGGGGTTTTATTCTGGTTGAACACAATCACTACATATAATTCGATTTACTGATTGACCTAATATTTGTTAATGACTGATAAAAAGTTACATTTTAAATTTGTGGGCATTGTAAAAAGCCTTAAAAAACATTTCGCCAGCTGTGGATCATGTGATATTGGACTCAAGTGCCTGTATCTCCTATGTGATCAATGATTGGGATCCTCCATTGCTTCCTTCATTATTCTGCTGAGCATATATACAGGGAACAGGCAGTGATGGTGTTTTCCCTGGTAGGATCATGTATAGGCAGGGCTGCTGTTAGAAACCACAGGGCCCCATACAGCCAACCTGAAAGGGCCCCCTTCAAAAATGTTTTTACTTAGCCTCAGTTATGAATGAACACTGAGTGATTGGTACCGATTACTCATTGTGTTCATTCAGGAAAGGAAGGGGCTGGTTAATGTGACATCATTATCGGACCCTTCCCCCACTCCCTATCCTGAAGGATCCTATTGTGTGCTTGCAGCTACTGGTGGGAAGGAGGAGAGGGAAGTCAGCACTGTTGGGGCCCAGGCAGCTGAGTGAATCAGATTTGCACAGGGAGGGTGATTGGCATAGTGGGCGGGGGGCAATTTCTGGAACCAATCCCCTGTATGGCTCTCTCTGCTGCAGCTGAAAACCAGCAGGATGGAGAGGAGACGAATCCAGCTTGCATATGCTGCAGAGAGAGCCATACAGGGGATCGGTTCCAGAAATTCCCTCCCTCCACCATGCCGATCACCCTCCCTGCCCACATCTGATTCACCCAGCTGCCTGGGGCCCCCTGGGTCTGGGTCTCATACAGGTGGACTGGTGGTATCCTTTTATCCATGGCTCTGTGTATAGGGGGCCATCTTTGCATCATCTGCTGCTTACTGAGTGCCTCAATTCAGTGCACATGTCAAATGTGGTGTATAATATTCAATCTTTAGAAAACAATGTGTCCAAAACAAGTTTTTCTCTTCACATTCCTAAGAGCTTGCATATAATTTCTTTGCATTATGTAAAAAGGAAAAAAAAAAAGTGAAAGGGCAGGATTTTTAAAGCAGAAGCGACATGCTTTGTCCCTTCTGCATTAAAGTTACCTACTTGTCTGTCTATCCCTGTACAGTGAGCTGCACATGTGTAACTCACTGTAGGAATTCGGCAATGCGGAAGCTGACTGAACTGCTGCGCATGCATGGGAGTGTCGTCATATTGGCCCGGCCAGTAAACGTGGCCAGCGATCGATACCACTCAAAGATGTCAGCAAATGGCAGGGATCTCCAGGCGGCTGCATTGCTGAACTGAAGGTCAATATAGTTTTACTTTAAATAGGAACTTCATCCAAGGTTGTTAAAAAATTAAATGTCAGCAGCTACAAACACTGTAGCTGCTGAATTTTAATAAAGACACTTTTCAAGCCATGGAGTCCTGTGCAATCTTTGTCACAGCCAGTTCTTCACCGGGTTTCAGACCTCTGTGCAACCATATTGGATTTGGGAACCTGATATCTCACCGCCTGCACAAGGCGCACTGTGCACTGTGGTTCTGCAGCCTCCTGGGGAGTGTTATGTGTCCCAGAAGGCTGTGGATTGGGGAAGGGGGGTAGACAAACTGATTGTAAGCTCCACGAGCAGGGCCCTCATATTCCTTCTGTACTGAAATGTATTGTAATTGTACTGTCTCCCTTATATTGTAAAGCGCTGCGCAAACTGTTGGTGCTATATAAATCTTGTATAATAATAATATCATTGTCTCCTAGACAAGAATTGAGAAAGAGAGAGCGTGTACCTGTCAAAGAAAAAAGGTACCCGCTCCATGAAAAAAAGCTGTAAATTAATTATGAGCGGTAGAGACAAAGGGAATAAGTGGCGCTTCAATTTTTTGGGTTAAGGCCTACTTTAAGAATAGTTTTACTATCAGTAATGATCTCATTACTAAAACGAGGGGGGGGGAATTTACTAGAACTGGTGCACTCAGAATCTGGTGCAGCTGTGCATAGTAATCAATTAGCTCCTAACTTCAGCTTGTTCAATTAAGCTTTGACAATGAAGCCTTGTACACATGGGCCAAATATCAGGCAAAATAAGTTGGTACCAGGGGCGGACTGACCATTTGGAAACTAGGGCACTGCCCGAGGGCCCGGGGTCAGTAGGGGGCCCCATGAGATGCCCCTGGTACCTTTTTCATAGGCTTTTTTGAGTTTGGGCAAGGACACAGGGGCCCCATGATCCCCTATTACCCAGGGGCCCCATGAGTTGTCAGTCCGTCCCTGGCCGGTACAGTAGATGCTGGCCAGCATTTTGCCCCTGTGTACGGGTCCTTGTTTGACAGAACAGGTATCTCTGCCGGCTTTTGTCGAGTGAGCTTGATGGAAAACCAGCAACCGATCAGCATCCGATCACCACTGTCAGCCGTTGGCTGCGAGCGCTGACCAGTGTGTTCTAGCGCAGGGGGTTAGGCCCTGTCAGAACACAATAGCTCAGCGGGAAGATCGCTGTAATAACGTTGCATCATTAGTACAGAGACTTCCTTTGAGCTTCTCAAAAACTTACCACGTGTACCAGGCTTTAAGCCTAGAAGCTGATTAGTTACTATGCACAGCTCCACTGGATTCTGTGTGCACCAGTTTTAGTAAATCTCCCTCATTGTCTTGTAATTGTATACAACGTTTCCAAGTACTGCAGACTGCTGTATACAATTACTATAAAAAAAAATCACTGTGTGAGATTGACAGTACTGCATAATATGGCAGAGTAGACATGTGCAAAATAAAAAAATTTGTTTCGTTTTGAAATCTTACACATTTTGTGTAGTCGGATTCAGTAAATTTCTTCAATTCGTTTCAGTAATTCATATTCGGATTCGATTCGAAAACATTTCGACCAAATTCGAAAAGTCGTTCACATTCGAAATTGGTTCAACCGAATTTGAAATTGATTCAACCAAATTAATAAAATTTTTTTTTTTAAAAATACCAAGGAGCGAGGGACCAGTCCTTAAAGCAAAACTTCCCCTTTTGAATTGAGCTCCTCTTTAAATTTGTTTTTGAATGTTCAATTTTGTTTTCGCATTTGCTTTTGAATTTGTTTTCACATCGAGTTTCGTTTCATTATTTTGGATTTGTTTAAATTTGTTATTTTTGTAATTTGTTATTTAGATACTCAAATCTCCGAATAACAAAAAAAATTTGTCCGACATACGATTTGGAACTAAATGAACCGCACATGTCTATGGCAGAGTCTGATCAGTCAGCTGGACATTAATGCTTTGGACCAGCTTACTGATACTTAGTATTGTGGGCCATGCCTGTGCAATGATGGTTCACCACTTGTAGTCTCCATCATGGGCACATGGAACAGGGTGACAATCAGGGGCAGACTGACAACTCATGGGGCCCCCGGGCAATAGGAGATCATGAGGTCCCTGTGCCCTTGCCCAAACTCAAAAAAGCCTATGAAAAAGGTACCAGGGGCATCTCATGGGGCCCCCTACTGACCTCGGTTTCCCGAGTTTCCAAATGGTCAGTCCACCCCTGGTGACAATACAAGACTGCAATTGTGAGACAGTTGTCACCCTATTAACAAGCATCTGATCAATAACTATAATAGCAGGATCAACAGGTATTATTCTTCAAGTAAAACTTTAAAAATATTAAAAACACTTTTGAAATTATGATAACATGATAAAGTCTATCTAAGATTTTTGTGATGAGTTTAGATTTACTTTAAAAATATTTTAAATAAACACATAAGTGCATTTCATGTTGAGCTTTCATAGCTTACTTTCATAGTCTTCTGTTTAAACAAACACACGAAAAGGAATCTATAAATTGTAGAATTACACATTTCAGATGGTCTTGTTCATCCTCCGTTAGCCGCCTTCTTCATGGATGTGGGAGGATGCCAGTTAAGAAATGCAATATTTTACAGGAGACCTGTTATGCAGATGTTCTTGATGTATTTTGAATAATGCATAAGTCTATAACATGGTGACCTTTTATATCTGCCTCTAGTTTTGTTGAAACACTGAGCATGAATTTTATGGGATGTGACTACAGGTCTTAAAAGGTTCTTTTCACAGCTTTTCTGTTTGTCAGAAAAATTGGTTTCTTTTATGCTTATGGAGGAAAGCAGGTGACAGTAAAGATACTTTGCAGAAAACTTTCTAGGGAAGGAGCCCCTGGTGTATTTGAATACATACATAAGTGCATAAGCTAGTAATAGTTGGCCACAATTTACTGGAATTGGTCTGTAATAGTTTCCCCACATATTGAAGTGACTTTTCCAGTCCCCCCTTTTCCTGTAGAAGCTACTAGAATTAGTGGGGAAATGTCTTCAACGTTACAGAACAAAACCAGATGAATATGAATAACTGATAATAGACATACCATGGCCTGGATGCATGGGAATCTTGTGGATCTTCACATGGATCTTGCCTACCTACAGTCCTGCTTAATGTAGTTGTAAAGTTTGTTTTTATTTTTATAACAAACATGTTATATGGAATTGCACACAGCGTCCTGAACCTCGTCTTCTCGGGTCCCCTGCCAGCGCTCTTGGCTCCTCCTCTCTGTCCAGTGCCCCTATAGGAAGCTTCCCATGGGGGAACTTAAGCGTGCTCGCTCCCAAAACCTGCTGCTGCATCCATTGACACAACCAACATGACTTGTCCCCTGGGCTGTTGTTAGAAACCACAGGGCCCCATACAGCCAATCTGATGGCCCCATCCAATCCTCCCCAAAAAAACACAGTTTACTATGCTTCACTTATGAATAAACACAGTGAGTGACTGGTACCGAGCACTCATGTTCATTCAGGAAAGGAAGAGGCTGGTAAATGTGACATACTTACCGGACCCTTCTCCCACTCTCCACCCTGAAGATTGTATGCTTGCAGCTGGCGCTGGGAAGGAGAGGAGGGCAGTCGGCAGCACTGCGGGGTGGGGACACATAGGGGGGCTTGGGCAGCAGGGGGGAAACGTATGGTGTACAGAGAGAGGGTGATGGGTGTGGCAGAGGAGCAATTACTGGAATTGATCCCCTGTATGGCTCTCTCTATAGCAGCTGAAAGCCAGTGGGAGGGAGAGGAGAAGCAGCCAGCTTTTAGCTGCTGCGGAGAGAGCCATACAGGGGTATAGTTCCAGTAACTGCCCCCATGCTGTGCTGATTACCCTCCCTGCCCACATACAATTGCCCTAGTTGAATGGGCCCCTGTACAGAAGGACTGGTGGTACCCCCTTGTCCACAGGCCTGCTTGTCCATGTCTCCTTGCTCTGTCATATCTGGCTTTGATTGACAGCAATGGGAGCCAATGGCAAACAGAAGTGAGGGGAGAGAAGAGCTGCAGATGTGCACAGCGCTAGATCGAATGAGGGCTCAGGTAAGTAAAAGTGGATGTGTGATGAACTAAAAGCACAGAGAGAGAGCACACAGAACCCAAAGTGTGGTCGTTTACTGGGGAGTTTTTTGGGGTGCAGATATTTGAACAGCTAGTCCACAGAACAACACAAGACACCGCAATACAGTAGGGTTCTCAGGATGGCAATATGGGACAACAGGGGGGGATAGTCCACAGGGTTAAATAAGACAGAGCGACAGGGCACTGCAGGGATTGGAGTCCATGGGCAAGGGTTTTGGGCAGAATCGGGCTAAGTCCAGCACAGGTCAGAGGTCTGGGCACAACGGGGTTAATCCAGTACATGGGATGCAGAGCAGGGCAGAGAGAGGTGAGCCCACACAGGGCAGATAGGGTTGAGTCCACACAGGGCAGAGGTCTGAGCACAATGGGGTTAATCCAGTAAATGGGATGCAGAGCAGGGCAGAGAGGGTTAAGTCCAATGCAGGGCAGAGGTCCGGGCACAACGGGTTAGTCCAATACACAGGATGCAGAGCAAGGCAGAGGTCCAAGCACAATGGGGTTAGTCCACTACAGATGATGCAGGGCAGGGCAGAGGTCCTGGCACAATGGGGTTAGTCCAATACAGAGGATGCAGGGCAGGGCAGAGGTCCGGGCACAATGGGGTTAGTCCAATACACAGGTTGCAGAGCAGGACAGAGGTACGGGCACAATGGGGTTAGTCCAATACACAGGATGCAGAGCAGGGCAGAGGTCCGGGCACAACGGGGTTAATCCAATACACAGGATGCAGAGTCCCAGTGTCCAGAAAGCTGCAGAGACAATGTAGAACCACAAGTCCCAGCAGTGCAAAAAAGCAAAGCACAGCATCTCCTAGGGAGGCCTTCAGCCATGAGCTGCTCTGTCCATCCTGACTCAAGCTCTACACATTCTGCAAGATTTCTCTCACCAAAGGAACATTATATGGTCCTTTCAATTTGACCAAGCCTCAAGCCCCCAGTGCTGACACGTCTGGCTTTTCACAGCCATGGGACACCATGCTATCTGTGCCTCCCCCGCTGAGATCAACCTCATCTCCCACCCCCTGTGGGGCACAGGAACTCCTAGATTTAAGTAAGCAGACAAGCTGAATGCTTGACACACTTGTTGAGTTCAACAAAACAACACAAAAATAAAATAATGTTTCTGCTCTCCATCACAGGGTGTGACGGGAGATTCTGATGCCTAAACATTTTTTACCTTAATGCAAGGAATGTATAAAGGTAAAAAATGGTTAGGCTTTATAACCACTTTAAGCTTCAAGAGAGAATTCTGTAGGATTTGGAACTACTCAAGTGGAATTTCTGTTTGTCCAATAGCTGTCTTCTTCGTGGGATGTGGAGGTAGTTCAGCCAAGACCTGGGGTACCTTTGCAGGAGACCTCATAGGATAGGGGCTTGTGGTGAATGTTAATGTCTGCTTAACTCGATTACATATCTAACTTTTTATATCCACCTATAGTTGTGGCAAACTTTTTTTACAATTGGGAGTGGTGAGAGGTTAGAATCACTGAGAGATTTTTTGGCATCTGTGTCTCCATCAGAGAGGACACTCAAATTGTCCTTATCACCAATGTCACCTGGGAATAATAGCAGAGTAAATCCAAATTTAGTTTTGTTGCCTGAACAAAAATTGAAGAAAAATATTCCAGTTTAGACACTTGTTTCTGTGATAACTAATCCTGGACAGACATTTTCTCACTTTCTAATTATTATACAGGATGGGTTGTGAAGGGAAATCTCCCTTCAGGCAGCGAATGGAAATGGACAGTGGTTTTAAAATGAACCTTCCATTAAAAATAAAGGTCCACTTCCCTACCATCTCCCCACCACCCAATAGCAAAAGCTCGAAAGGTAAAGATTTGCAAAACAAAAAAAAAAGA